GCTACACAAAGGGCTATCTGTGCTCTATCCACCACGGGTATTGAAACCCGGTTTCTAGCGTTGGAAGTCCGCAGACATACCGCTGTGCCACTGGGGGCGTTTGTTTGTAATTAAACACAAAGCTACACAATGGGCTATCTGTGCTCTGCCCACCACGGGTATAGAAACCCGGTTTCTAACGTTGTAAGTCTGCAGACATACCGCTGTGCCACTGGGGGCTTTCATAAACAGAGGGCCCTTAATTGATTTTAACTGTTTGATTTTTTACCAGAAATCCCTAGTGGCGAATGTAAAAAGTAACAGGTAAGTTAATTTTTTTTTAAATGGCTGACAATTCGATATAATTATTTGTGATGAAAATATATTTTAGTAGGACTAAAACTCTCAATTAATATCTGAATCTAGCGTGGCGCCATCTTGTAACAGCTTTTGAAAGTACAATAGAATAGACAGGTGTCCACAGTTGAAGCATTAAGCAATTACGTGTAAGTGTCTAATTGTTTACTTGTATGATGTTTAACATTACACCTCTATTCATGGATCTTTTTTTTTCATTTTGCTTATTTTCACTCTCGATAAACGATTTTTTGTAATTACAAACCTAGATACCTACAGAGTATAAACTTATCAAACGTTTTACTCTCTATAGTTCATTATTACACATACACATTACGTGATTACGCCTTCTACACACTATATAAAATATATATCTCAACAGCTTAATTTTTCACAGTAAACAAGCCTATAATTTCTCAGTAAAATATTTTTTTGAACTGGTGTATTTAAGTGCTTTACACTCACAAAAAAGAAACCTATTATTCTATAGATATTTGAAGAACTTGTAGCATTCCGCTACAATTTAATTCTTCGTATTGTTAGCCGAAACTGGGCAGTTGTAGTACATAATTGAATAGAGTTGTTTAAACATTTGTTTAACAACAAATAAAAGCTTGGAATGGTCTATTCTTTCACTGGGGGAGTGTAATTCTCCGAAACTAGT